CTGGCCACTGCCACCAATTATGCCACAGGCGAATTTGTTATAGACCTGTGTGGCAATTTTTCACTCATGCTGGCTGAGAAGGGCTGGGCATCACAGAAGGAATTCGATACTGTATGGCACTTCCTTGACCAATGACTCAACGCCTTCGAGAAGCACTTTGGTTCCATAAAAAGAGCTGTCGACCCTTCACAGGAGTTTGATGGATCATGGCTCGGTGGTTTCAGGCCGGCCAGTGTGCCACATACCACTTTCACTGATCGGGAATCCGTCAAAAGGGCTTGGTCCACAGAGATTAGGCCTACTGGCGAGTCGACCCGCAAGATGCTGGGTTGGGAACTAAACAGTCAGCGCGAACCAGCAGTCGACGAAGTCACCTTCATACATCAATGCCAGCAGCTGCCAATAGAGCTCCCTGCTCCCAGGCCCAGCATTAATGTCGCTGCAGCTATGTTACGAAGGGATGAAGGGACGGTACCAATGACGAACTGTCCTCATGAATCCTATACGCTCCATGATCCCAAGAAGAATCTGGACTACGCAGAATTTGTTCAGGGCCTCAAGGGCAGAAAGACGGAGGTAGGCCCCGCCGACAAGAGGTATCAGAACAATAGGTACAGACCTGGGCCCAATACAGGTCCCGCCTGCTCATTGTTTCGAGACCCTTTCGCTCCCATAAACCTCGGTATGGAGTGAGTTAGATCTGGACCCCAACCTTGGCCACAATATCGCCAAGGTGATGAACCACCGCAACCGCCTGCTCCTCCAGACCCACCTCTACCCCAGGGTGGGCCACCTCCACACAACTATCTGCCACCTCTGTCAGGAGGTCAAGCAGGTGGGCCTCCTCCACCACTGCTCCTGCCAGGGAGTCAGGCAGGTGCACCACTGCCACCACCACTGCCACTGCCACTGCCACCGCCTGTGCCAGGAGGTCAGGCAGGGGCGCCTCCACCTCCACCACCTCCAGGGCCGGGTGCTGTAATTCCTCTCCAAATGCCAGGAATCAGGCCATACCTCCCATTCGACCAGATGCAACCTTACGTCGATCGTAAGTACACTACATCAGATTTCCCCAAGTTCGATGGCTTGATCGACAGTTATATAACCTGGTGCAGTACATGCCGAAATTTAGCAAGACACTCGGTGGCCTTCACCCAGCAAATGGCAGGAGTCCTGCCCAAGAGGTTCAAGGGCAAACTCATGGACTGGTGGACTACTGTCCCAACAGCCGACAAGCTATACTTCACTTGAAATTGGGAGGCTCTACACAGTTATATATTACACTACTTCTTGATGCCTGCATTCATCGACAAAATACGAGAGTGTTGTAGGTGGGATAACCTACTATACCCTACACCGCCAGCATTTTTGCGGTTTTACGTTGTTGTGGGGACAACTCCGTGTTCCGCAAAAAGTCGGATTCTGCAGAATTTGGTCACCAACACGCACTACATATCCGCTGACGCTCCCGATACTCATTCTATCACTATCCAACACTCCATACACTCACTCCATATTTTTCCATATTTTCCCCATCATTCCCGACAGCACCCAGCCAAATTCCCATGCCCAACCACGCCGCCAATTTCACCCCCTCTCCAGATCTCCATAACCACACATACAACCCAGCCGTTTTTCTACTCGATAGTGATGCTATACCTTCCTTCTTAACCCCGGAGCATTTCCCAGAATGGCAATCCCATACCCGGATGGTTCAGCACAGAGTAGAGTCTCACATGGTCTTGACAGCACCTGTCAATGGCCACATCTCAAGAAGTACTGCACCAATTGGGATGAATAAGGGCTCGTTGGAAAGCTGGAGACGAGGCGATTGCTGACGGGAGGATAGGCGGGCGCTGTGGCGAAGTGTTGCGGAGATAACTTTCACAATTCCCATTTCGGATCCATTATCACATATTGCCCATTCATTCATATTTCTTTTATTGTTTCTTTGTTCCCAATTGGATATTCATCATTTACGGTTGCCTAACGGTCCGTTTACACTCCCCCATGCCATTCATTCCATTTCAAACATATATAAACCAGATAACAGCTTGTACATAACAAGTTAGTACTGAATAGACCCGTGAAGGGACAAGCAGAAGTTACATCCAAGTGGCAAGGATGCCATCCACGACTCTAACGCCCCCCTTGAGATTGTTGCTCACGTCTAAGACCCCTCTCATCATAATACTCAGCCTTGACATCCAAGAGAGACGTAGGTGAGTGTTTGTTTGAGGTTTTTGCAGACTCGGTAGCACCCCAGGACCAAAACCCGGCTCCACGAACCACACCCGCACACACTACCACCCTCCCCCTTCTCTCTGTCTCGAGTCAAGGCGATTGACCCATTACAACATGCCTTAAGGATTTCCCATATGCGATGATCACCTACCAATGCCAATGGTGCATAAGATCATTTTATTTCCCACAGGGTACAATTGTGCATAATGCGCTGGTACTGAATTGGTTCAGCCCAAAAACTATGCTTGGCGCTACTGGCCGCCAGAAGACGATCAAGGGCTCAGAAAATAGAGAAAACCATAACTATGGATTCCCCAAATTTCGTCCAGATCGACCCAGCCGTTGTGGAACAATGGTGGTGACGATTTCTCATCTTACCACGAGGTTCCACATGATGTCGAAAGGCATGTGAGAGTGGCAGTGTCGAAAGTCCCATGCAGTGGAGCCGAGATCCATACTTCAGGAGATTGCGAAACTGGTTTTCGGCCCAATATGGAAATCACAAGCTGTACCGAAGCAAACAAACAACCAAAATGCACTCTGGAGTGCTCAGAAAAATTACAAAGGATGCGCCGCAAGAAAAAGGGCCATGAGAAGTGTGATGAAGAGGGCTGTCATTGTTGCGGTAGAGGCCATCTCTCTTTAATGTTGTAGTTTGGTTTGGGGTGATCGCAATCAAAAATTACCCGCTTTTTCCAAGAATTTCTTCTCACGCCAACCTAGTTTATACTCCAAAACGACCATGAGCGTTGTAACGGGTCTATCCAACTAGACTCGCAACAGGAAAGAGGGGGGGGATAAGAATCTCACTGAGGGTCAGGTCTGAGTGGGTATATTGGTCCAGTTGAGTCTGGTGCTGATACTCTCTACCCAACTGTACAGCAGTCACGGAAGAGTCCGATAGATAAATAAGGAAAGAGTATCACATGACAATAAGAAAATGGAAACATCGGCCTCTAGACACCGGAAATGAAATCAGAAAAATAAGGAAAAATAAGGAGTGTGTATAAGAAGCATGTGAGAGTGCATGCTATGTGTCTAGGATGTGGGGAGTTTGTTGAGCATGGTGGAATCGCGGGATTTGGCTCGTTTATGGTACACCGGCAAATCCCTGTTACAGCGTAAGCTCAAGCAGACTCATCTTTTTTCAAACATATACTTGCTGGGGCGAATTATGATCGAGCCGCTCTGCGCTGGCTTTGGGGTGGGCCTTGGTCGCCTGACGTCGTACTGACAAACTGACACATGTTGGACGCCGCTCCGATTCCACCTCTATCCTCGCTCCCACCGTTTGGAACCACTACCAGTCCAGGTAGCAGACCCCCCGGGTCTTCTTCACTTCCATGTTACTCGCTTCACATCAACCTACTGGATGGTCACACCAGCACCTCAGTCTCAGCCAAGAATCACTCCCATCTTGAGCGCTGCAGACTTTGACCCCTGGACGTCGTTCCGATGTATGCTGTCCCAGCGGTGGAATAGTAGTGCCCTACTGACGATGCTAAGTACATATATATCGCGGTCTTCGACAACGGAACGCGTTGTTGATATCCGGAAGTTGGATTGACAGTCGTGTCCACGTTTTCTATCTCCCATTCAACTACTATTGGATTAGCATTTTGATGGTCTTTTCTTGATGCTGAATCATTTGACACGTAGCCCAACTGCCACACTACTCTCTTTTAAAGGCTACAAGGATGACGCCAACTGTCAGAGACCAGATTCAAGATGAAGGAATGTCTCCGTAACGGAGGGCTTCGGCCTCAGCGACTTCTGCCAAGAGCACTGTGCCTAGTGACACGTCCGTGCCCTAACTTACTGACTGGCAATTAGAACCTAGGGGGGTAACTCTAGTTGATTTTTCTACTGGGGCGTAACCTATGTACAAGTGGGATATATATATGGTTACAGCGGAGACGGTTCCGCAATTGGCGGAGCCAAACGGAGCGGAGCTAACGGGGTTTAACCATTAGCCGACTGAATATTACCGACGAGTCGGTTAGCGGGGTTAGCGGAAAGGCAGGCGATAACCCAGAAACGGAAAGGAGGGATAAGCCCGAAGGTGGACTCTGCAGGGCAGGTGAGTGTATTGCTCAGCGGAGGCGGGGGTGCGCTAGCGGACGTTGGAGCTGTCCGGAAGTCTTTGGGGCTCCGTACTTAGGGAGGCGTAGGTAATAAATTGAAATGAGGGGGTGGTGACCATCGAGGGGTACCGAGAGGATTGCGGAATACGGGGACTCCAAGGTTGGTGAGGGAGGAGCGGAGTTGGAACAGAGGGATCGGAGGGACCGGAAGTCGATGGCCGGGAATGGATATGACACCAACCCAACCATGGTTAGTTCGCCCACCATCGACCGATCCCGGCCCCTACCATGTCCCCCCCCCTCTCCTGAGCATGCTGCCGCCCCCAACAATTCCAACAAAGAAGTCTTCGATGCCTCCACGTCACACCCCTCCTCCAGAACTCATTCAACGTGCAACTGCGCCAACCTTTGGAAGAGAGTCATCTTTACTGGTTCCGCCAAATCGTCCTGGCAGTAGCATTCCTCTATTTCAAGCTGATCTACGTCAACCACCTTCGACTGGCCGCTTTAGATCTGCAGCGAATGGAGCAACCAAATCCGGATCAGCATTCATCACACCTAGAACAGGCGTGACCCCAAAAGCCAATCACTAACGCAGCTCCCGGTTCCGAGACACCGATCCAATCTGCACCATCAACCAATCCAACAGTTATTCATGCTATCACGCAGACCATGATCGGGGGGAGTTCTTGGATAAGTACACCTGGCAAGTTGTTGGTAAAGGCCACAGCAAGAAACGGCATAAACGGTTCTTTTGGACACATCCCTATACTAGGACTCTGTACTGGAGCTCGGCGGACCCAGGCGCTTCTAGTACGGGTGAATCGACTGCTCAAAGTGGTAAGTTCATTCTGATCTATGCACACAGCTCAGGCTCAAATTCCGCTTTGTTGGACAGCCTACATTGACACCGTTAAGTCCGTTATTGATCCCAATCCCATGCCTCCTACCTTGTGTCCTTGGCGACATTGATGCATACGAGCTCGAAATGTGGAGGTTTACAAACTCACCAGCTAATTTCGTCGACAATGATCATGAAGTGCTTGAGGTGCTAGTCAGCGAGGCATTTTCCAATATGGGGGTCAAAAAACTCTTTACGAGGCAGGTAATAGCAGGCTTGAACATCTCAGCTGGAGAGGTACTGCTTGTCAAGTTTCCCGGTGCGTCAACACTCATCCCGATAAGTAGACACCTGACTTTGTGACAGGCTGAAAGCCACAGACAGAGGACGACGGTGAGCATTCAACACGTTCGAAGCCTCGTCTTCAAGTGCCACAATTAGATCCTCCTGTTCTCGAACTGTACTGTCTTATTCGTGGCGATGGTGCCAACCATATCTTTCCGGCCAAAATTGCGAGTACAGAGTCTGTCGGCACCCTCAAGGAGATTGTTAGGGAGAAGAATAAGTTCGCTCTCGAACACATGGATGCAAAGACCCTCACACTCTGGAAGGTTTCCATCCCGGTCGATGACAGTCTCAAGGAAGAAGGTTGAACTTAACGATGAGGAAATGCTATCACCTGTCCATTGACGGTCCTCCGTTTTTCCTGATCCACTGCCCCAACTTCATCTACACATTATTATCAAGTTTCCACCCAGCAAGTCCATATCATCCACTAGTCAATGTCCCCTATTATATAAAGGCGACCGTGTCGCCGAAGCCTGCAAGGCATGGGGTTCATCCGTTTCACAAGAGGCCCCTTCCTCAGGAGGCCTACCCAAAAAGTTTGTTGCCATCCAGAAAAAGGACAAACCTGCGTTTGCGTTTAATCGCCCCCCAACCACTGCCGTGATGATACCCATCTCACTATATCATCCCATATCCAGCCAGTTCCAAGATGACTGTAAAACTTATACACCCACCAAGGAAGACCATGATTTCGCTTTAAAGTTCTCCCATTCTATGTCAAATATTTACGCCAACGAAGGGGACAGGGCTGACCAAGCTCGAAAAGATTTCGCAAGCTATGGTCTCGACTTGTTGCCCACTGGAATTGGCAAGTATTGGACTGATGGAGATCTTCGCTACAAGGGCTTTTGCTTTGCACTCATCGAGGCCAAGGCAGAGCTTTCCACCGGCGGTGCTGAGCCTTTTTTCGAGGCTGCCTGGTACTATAGTGCCTTCATAAGGAACCACTTTGACGAAACCCGTTCGCGTCTCCCTTGCTTTATCCTCTACCTTGCTGGTGAGCTTCCACGTTTCTTCTCCTGGATACACCCTAAATTCATGCCCTAGGTGCCCACATTGGCTTTTCCGGCTCCGTCTTGACCATTCACCCTCATCTGGAGGTCCTAGCCCCCAAGTTGCCGCTCTTCTATCATGCATCCAACGTCGATATGCTGCCCGTTTTTTTGGGGCAACAAAAAATGCGATTCTCGTGTTGAATAGTCACTACGAATCCGAACCTCCACATATAACCTCTGACCCGATCCTTATGTTTCCGTATCCTACCAACTTCGATTCCCTGCGCGGTACCACAAAGTACGCATTTGAATACTCATCGCAGCTTGACGAGAAGAGGCTCCTATTTTCCGGCACTGTTGGTGATGAGAAAATATTCACCCATCGATACTCCGAGGATGCACATCTTGCATGCTTCTCGCTTGGTTGTGCACCTGCTTTGAAGTGGTATCAGCCCATTGCGGGTGGATGGTATATGGTTGTCATGGCTTTAATCGGGGATGATTATCATGAATTGCGGCATTCAGAGATGAAAGCCTTGTTCAAAGCCGAAATCGAAGAGAAGGTGAACAAAAAGCATTTGTGCATGGTGATATTCGAACCACCAATGTCATGGTGTGGAAAGATGGTAAGCCTGGAATTCTACTAGTCGACTTTGACTGGGCAGGCAAAATTGAGGAAGTGCGATATCCAATGAATGTGAATAATGTTGATCTAAAGGAGCAGTTGATGGCGAGCTTATTAAGGCCGACCATGATATTGATATGATAAAGTATATGTTTCAATGAATCTGTCAATTGATAACACCCTATTATTATACACATTGACTCCAGTTTTGAACTCTGAAAAGAGGCCCTCCACTTTAGATGGTCACATGGATACCGTGTGTGTAATTCTCGATATTTTACTTCCCATAGAGGCTGCCCGTTAGGGCGCCAAGGGGAAGGGGCGAGGCCCAAGGCATATACATTTTTCCATACTCAAGTTCCACATGATTCTAAGCTCCCAGATAACACCAACATTGTTTGCCAATGCCCGGATTCGCGACTGAACAATCCAAATTCTTCTGAATTGTGACAGTGGTAGACCGTATCACATGAGCCTATTATGCTGCAAGTGATCCCCTATAGAACATCTGGGTCCATGCCAATTGAACTCCTAACTCCTGGCCGGTTGTGCCCATGAGAGGCCCCTTTCGGGTAGTGAATAGAAGACTTAGTCATATGATATGAACCTTTTCTATACTCAATGCAATCGGTAGTGGAGAAGTTGGTGATCAAGTGATCATGAGACCGGCTCCTCGGCTTGTTGGCCCGACACATAAACACGTGCCTCTTGAGACTTTGGAGAACCGCGACCTCCCAACAGGTGAGTCGAACCAACGTCCTCTCAATTGGCAAATGCCAGCGAGAGAGTAGATTGGCGGGTGTTACCACTACACCACCACTCCTCCCCACGTGGATACTGTTGATCCGTTGTCCATCGCTTGAGAGTAGGTGGCTGGACTGTATCCTCTGTTATCCCCATGCCTTTTTCTTGTGATCGCTGTGCTGTAACCACTATCCATTGTGCCATATCAGCTGTCAGCCATGCTGCATGCTCTTACTTTATTGATTGCTGTGCTGAATGCCTCGATCGATTGTGCCATATCCACTGTTGGCCACACCACATGCTGTCTTCACAGCTTTGTCAGTGTGTTCTCTCAAAGCTGTTGGAGATTTACAGATTGGTTGTGTCTGACATAAAAAAACATTGGCTCGTCTGTCTCTCTAATTGTTATGTTTTGTATACTTTATTTCAATCTTGATTATTTTCTTTCAGTTTTCTTTCAGTTTTTTCTTCATTTTATGATTCATCTGAACGTCTCCTCCATGAGTATGGTCTTGAAGGTGAGTTGTGTTGGAGGAAGGGATCAAGTGATCTCCCAAACCATCAGGGAAGGGGTACCCCCCCTGGCATAACGGGCAAGTAGTGTATGGATGCATGCTAGAAGTCCTGGGTTTGATACCAGGCTTGTTCATTTTATGTCATTTGTCCAGTCATGCTGGTTTATGTCATAAGAATTTGGAGCTCCAGATAAGTCCAGTAGTTGCACCGGATACAAATTTCCTCAAGTTGCCCTTTGGGTACTTTCTGCAAGTGGAATCCCACATATTTACAGGTTTTAGTTGTTTCTGTTACAGATACAGAGTCTCCAATGACCATATCCATCGCATTGTCAATGACCTCCTGTCAGGGGACAGACCCCAGGTCCCCATGACCCCTCTCTATGGCCCACAGCCTAACCTATGAACAGCCCTGTCCAGGGCAATGACCCTACTGTGGGTAAGAAAGTGACAGGAAGGTTAACTTCTGTTAGACACTGATCTGGAGTCGGCACTGAAGGTCGCCGATGTGGGCCACTATTGGCCGCTGTAACGGGGATTTTCTGGTGTACCATAAACAAGCCAAATCCCGCGATTCTACCACCCTTAGCCAATGTTCCCTCCTACACATTTCTTATTTTTCCTGATTTTTCTGATTCCATTTCCAGTCACTGATGTTTCCCCTTCTTATTGTTCTTTCCTTATTTGTCATTATCGGACTCTTCCATGATACCGTGACCAGCTGTATAGTTAGCTAGACAGTGAGGAGTAGTGGAATCCACACCCAACAAACCTGTGCATGCGACCACTCCAACCCTCCCCCTCTCTTCTGTCTCGAGTCTAGTGGTGATAGACCTGTTACACCACGATGGGCCGCAATGCCTCAGACAAGGCCCGAGGGTAGGGCATTTGGCCTCAGCAACTCTAAAGGGAGTGCTGTGCCCCCTAGCTGTCTCTTGGCCCTCATTTCAGACTTACTGGGGTTGCCTTGTTGGGGTCAGGACTTGGGGTCGTGGTCACATCGATATTAGAGCTAAGGTACTATAATGTAGTATACAGGATATATATATGAAGATAGAATGAATAGAAGCGGACCCGGGCCGAAGGCCGAAGGGTCCGGAAGCAAATAGGAACAAAGAGCGGGGTTGGCCGCACAGCGGCCAGCAATGACCGAGGGTCAAAACAAACAATAACAGATAAATAAACGAAGGGGTGTAGGGCCGTGATAGCGGTGATGGTATCGTAGTGGAGTAGGCGATGTCGTGGAGTCACGCTAGGTCGGTGCCAGAGGCGGACTTGGGGCAGGGAGGTCGGTGTGAGTCAGCCAAGTGTAGGGGAGCCTAGGGGTAAGTGGGGGAGTGAGCAGGGAGCCCTCAGGGAGGATAGGGCTGAGGTCAGGGCTCGCGCTCGTGCTCGCACAGCGGGAATAGGCTTGGGCAGCATCGGGATGGGCGGCTAATGGGCTGGGATGCATGGTTGTGACAACTTCTCACTTTGCCACAGTGGCCCAATATGACAAAAACTTCCAGGGATACCCGGAAGTCACATGAGAAGTGGGAACTGGGCCCGGAGCATGCAGTGCATGGAGCATGCGGGGCGGAGCACGCATGTGGGTCCGGGTCCGGGCTAGTCAGGGTGTGTGCCTTGACACCTCCCTTTTTTATGACACTCTCTCTCACTCTCTTTCCCAATACCCTACTATCCTCTCCCATTCTATTCCATCCCCCCCCTCATGCAAAGCTTTCCCCATCAGGGTTTTGGTGCTGGCCAAGGTTGTTTGCATTTCACGGGATTTCCTGCGACCATTCCATTTGTAGATAGTCATGCGTCATGTATGGAAACCACTGGAGGTGGTTCCCGCAAACTACCTTGTGTATTGTCTCTTGTAACAACCCCTTCTGTGACTCAGCTGAACACATGTGTGTGTGTGTGTACAACCTTCAACATGTCCTATATGCCTGGTTATGTTGAGTCATCTGGCGGTTCTCACCGCAAGGACTCGAAGTCATGAGTCGAAGCCTCACAACTTGTGTGTCATTCACTGGAACCCGTGTCCTACAGGACATCTGTCAGGGCAATAGCCCCGAACCCTGAGCCACATGTAATTAAGATACATATAGTCACATGGGTAAGCAGGTAACTGCTTACACACTACCGTAAAATACACACTCTTGTATCACTTACGGCTCTGTGTGCTGAGCTACCCTGAGACCTCACACTTTTTTAAGTGTATGAGGTGTGTTTTACAACACAACCCACAAAAACTCAACATCTTAACAATTTGACTCGATAGTGCCAATGGTGCCCAAACACGCCCACAAGGGCAAGGTCGCATCTGCAGTGACATTAAAAAGAAATGAGCAGTTCATTAAGAAACTGCAATATCCCATCATGGGAGATTCAAATCAACAGCAGTCATCAGATGACAACGAGGATCAACATGATCCGGTAAAAGCAACCACCTCAGGACTGGCCCCTGAAGGTTTTAGAAACTTATGTGGAGTAAGTGTGGGGCCCAATACCCCTAGAACTCCATGACATACCGATCTAACCCAAGCTGGGGAAGATCCCTCACCTCCTCAGGAGGTGATCAGCTTGCACAATAAATGCGTAAGCGCCGAACAATCAGCCCAAAAAGCTGATCGGATAGAGTTGCAGGAAACTCCAGGGCCCCACTATCCCCTGGAGTCCTCCCCCATGCCCCCAAGGCAAGCCCCAAAGGCAGACAAAGGGAAACAAAGGGAAGAGCCTCCGCATCAGCTATCCGAAAAACTACTGGACTTGTTCCAAGTTCCATCCGAATGGAGGACAGAAAGCAAAGACCAACTTCTCCTCAGGCTGGAAGCCTGAGAAGGCACGAAAAAACGCCCTGAGAGCAGGATCTCCCAGAGCACGGAAGCTCCAAAAGAACTTCCACTGTTTACACTACCTCACACCATGCCAGACAAGGCAAGGTCACCAACCTTGGAGGAGGTCTCCGAGATAATGAAGAGGAGGCAAACTGAAATGAGGGAGTTCACTGAGGAAGCCTTATGCAAAAGTAAGGAAAAACCAGCAAACAGACCCCTCTATGAAAGGGAAGCACCCTCCGCAACGGCCTCACCTAAACAAAGTGAGCGTGGAGTGTTCACTCCAAGAACCCCTTCTGGAACCCCCAGAAGCGGAAATGTCAACTGGGGAGAGTCTCTGCTCGCCCAACCAAACTTCCTCCTGGAAAACCAGGAATCGCGCATAATAAACGCGATAAACTCGATCCAAAAAAAGATCGAGGAAACGAACCATAATAGTACGGCTCGTCTAGAGATAACTCTAGAAAGAATGGCCAACGCAATTGATGTGCTGACTGAAAAAATCAGCGAACAAACAAACTTGCTGAAGGAAATAAATTTCTCACAGAAGAGTGAGGAAACAAATAAACACCCCTGGACCATGGTCCAGGACATAAATAGAACTCGTGAAAAATTCACGAAAACCACCACCAGTGAAAGCACACTGGAATATCATCAGCGACTCGACAGAGACGCTAAGGAGATCCTTCTCCCAAGGATAGGAGAAGACGATGCCGAAAGAAGGCATCGTTCAGAGATTAGGAGGAGAATTGGCACGTACCAAAGGTTCGGCCAAACGTCCACTTATGATGGACCTCTTGAACAGAGAGGTAACTCAATCACACCCTCTCAAAACAATGAGAGAATACAAATACAACTTCAGGCGAATTCGCCTGAAACCAAAGAAATGCTGCGAGGAAGATTTCCCCCAGCAAAAACCCCCCCAAAGGAGAGATCTCCATTGGATAGCGACCCCGCGAAGGCAGGGGAGCAAGAAGAGTACC